TGGTATAGATAGATTTTTAGTATCTTAGAGATTTGGTGTACTTTATTTTAGGCCTTCATTTGTATCTATATATTGTGGCTCTGGTTCATCTATGAAAATAAGGTTTTGGGGGAATGAATTGATCTTCACACATTTGTCATGGTATCAGAGACCGGTTAATTTTTTTTTCTCTGATTCTAAGTCTCGATCAACTGAGACTCTTAATTTTTTTCTCTCTTTCTTCTCAAATTCTTCTTTTTCTCTCGATCAATAGAGGCACCTGTTAAAAAATAAAAATAAAAATAAAAAAATCCACAATCTGCTTCCTCTCTCTCAATTCTCGTTGAATTGAGGCTTTTTTTTTTCAATTCTTATTTGCTCTCTCGTTCAAAACAGGGAGGACCAATTCCACACACACAAAAAAAAAAAAAAAAAATTTGTGAGTTACGTGAGTGCAGAGACCAAAAAAAAAAAAAAATTGCTTATCTCATGGCTGCTTCCTTAGGTGGTTCAGCTCTTGTCAATGCCGCCTTCGGGAACGGGGTTGCACTTAATACCTTTGGCTCCATACATGGCGGGCCAACATCCTCTTTGACAGACTCCGATCGGGCAGCTATATCTGGGTTAACTGATATCCAATGGGAGTCTAATGTCCACCTCGTCACTTCTGCCCGCAACAATGCTCCTTTGTCCGGTAAACGTAGTCCTTATGAGTGGATGTATGATAGCGGTGCTTCTCACCATATGACAGGCTACTTGGAATTTTTTTCTGATATTCGGGATATTCCGTCCCAGTCTGTACAGTTACCTAATGGCACGCTCACCACTGCGTGTAAGGCTGGAACTGTTCATCTTGGTTCTCGTATTATTTTATATGATGTTTTATTCGTTGACAGTCTGCAGTGCAGCTTTATATCTTTATCTCGGTTGTTGGAACAATCTGGATGTGTTGCTACCTTCACTAGTAAATATTGTGTTATTCAGGACCTCACTTCGAGGACGGTTATTGGAGCGGGTGACCAGTTGGGGGGGCTCTATTTTTTCCGAGGAGAGATCGCTGTCAATGCTTCTCGGGTGTCTTCGGTTATGCAACACTTGTGGCACCAGCGGATAGGTCATCCCTCTTCTACTGTTCTTGGTCAGTTGCCTTTTGTTGAATCTCATTCTTTGGTCTCGAATAAAACTTGCGATGTTTGCTGTCGGGCTAAGGAATCTCGTGCTAGCTTTCCTCTTAGTCGAAGTGTTGCCAGTTCCATTTTCAGTCTGATTCATTGTGATGTGTGGGGACCGTATAGAGTTCCTGCCTTTTGTGGTGCTCGATATTTTCTGACTATTGTTGACGACTATTCTCGCGGTACTTGGATTTTCTTATTGGATGACAAATCTTCGGTGTCTTCCACTTTACTGCAATTTTTTGCTTTTGTAAAAAGGCAATTTGGTGTGTTGGTTAAAACTGTTCGCAGTGACAATGGAACTGAATTTACTCGTATGCGTGATTATTTCCGTCAACAGGGGATTGTTCATGAAACCTCATGTGTCGGAACTCCTCAACAAAATACTGAAATAGACGTGCTGAGCGCAAACATCGGCATATTCTTAATGTTGCTCGAGCATTACGCTTTCAAGCCCATTTACCGATTGAGTTCTGGGGACATTGTGTACTTGCTGCTGGCTATCTGATTAATCGAACGCCTACTCCTCTTTTATCCGACAAGACTCCCTATGAACTTTTGTATGGAAAACCTCCCAACTATGCGCACTTACGTGTTTTTGGTTGTTTGTGTTACGTGCACAATCAGAACAGGGAAGGTGACAAGTTTGCAAGTCGAAGTCGTCGATGTGTTTTTGTTCGCTATCCATCTAGTCAAAAGGGGTGGTGTGTTTATGATTTGGACAACCGCACTTTTCAGGTCTCACGTGATGTGAAATTCTGTGAATCAGAGTTCCCTTATTTGATGTCTCATGCTCCTGACACTGCTTCCGTACCTTTGGTTCCATGGCTTGCTGTTTCTGACGATGATGATAATGTTGTGGTTCCCATCACGAGGCGTACCGCTAACACTGGGGGTTCTGAAGCCAATATTGATAGGGGGGGTAATCCTCCCCAAGAGGAATTGCTGGGCCGTGGTCATCGGCTTAAGAGGCCATCTTCCCGTCTTGCAGATTTTGTCTCTCACACTGTTTGTTCCTCGTCTCCCCACTCTACCTCCTCAATCAGGTCATCGTCTGGTACTCCTTACCCTCTCGCACACTATGTTTCTTGTGATTCTTTTTCATCTGTGCATAAGTCATTTCTGGCAGCCATTTCTTCTGTTGTTGAGCCTCGAACTTTTTCTGAGGCTGTTCGAGATAGTCGTTGGTGTTCGGCTATGCAACTGGAGATTCGAGCATTAGAATCGAACCATACTTGGGATATTGTTTCTCTTCCTACTGGGAAACATGCAATTGGTTGCAAATGGATTTACAAGATTAAATATAACT